GTGTCAGAATACGAAATATCGTGAACGAGGAGGTTCGTGCTCGCCTACAAGCATTGAAGTCTCCAGTCTGTCTTTAAAAATTCAATGCTACAGACTGCGCTATTCTTATCATGGCGACGCTCGCCACTGGACGTTACTAAGTCAATACTCTTCCCAATTAGTAATTTTAAACAATCACAGTCACTCATTTTTGTAACGTGAGATACATTAAATCAGTTCGAAAATCTTTCATAGGAAAGAACATTTGTAAGAAAAAGATTTCTTCTTGAATATCACCAAGTCTTAATTATATTCAGTTACAAAATTGTATCTTTAACAAGAAAAAAGTAGTAATATACTAAAAAGAATAAATAAGACAGTATATCTATAAAACAATAAAAGTATATTACTATCTTAATTCTATGGAGTGAATCATAATACATAATAAATTAAATCTTCGCCGATGAAAGCATTTAACTATAATAATAATCCGACATCCTCGACTGAAAGCTAAACTGTTAAAGTCGTTAACGTCGCAAATATTCGAACGGATATCGTTGCTTCGTTCTTGCAGCATCTCGATGCATAACTGGTTCATAACTGTTCTCGAACTATAAAAATGAAATGATACCTTTCACGTATAAACTCCCCATTTTGCAGAATTCTGGTCTCGATTAACGTCGACGGATACTATTTTGCGACTCGTTGCTCCCTTTGGTGTCTTGTCTACTATTTTCTGTTTTCCTCCTACGTAACGCGTCGCGTGTATCTCGCCGTTAATTGTTGCCGCGGACACCGTGACACGCATTTTGCTTAACGAGCCTCGCGTGTAACGCAAAACTGCATACCGGCGTCGTCGCCCGATAAAAATACCACGCCGTTAAGCGAAATATTGATGCTTGGCATTGTTCCGTGTCGCGTATCAGTGCTAATGATCAGAATTAAATATTCGGTATATTAAATCAGCCGCGCGATCGCGACGATGCGTGAAACCGTTTCTGACATGGTGCAACTAACGGTGGTTGTTTCGTTGTACACACTGTACGCAATTTATCATCCCAGTTCTCTCTTTTCCGCTCGCGTCATGTCACGCGTTTCTCACTCTCAATTGTGCCCAGAGGAACGTTGCTTCCTACGAAGCTTGTTGTGTCTAATTATTACTAAGGAAATATTGTTCCATGGAAATACGAGCCGTTGGAAAACCTTTCGGTCAGGCTACTTAACAATTTCATTATTCAAAATCATGGCGCTCTCATTAAAGGTGTTCCAGCTAGTCTCGATGAATTCGATTCTTCAAACCTTGGCTTTGTTGAAGAGGCGACTCGTAAACTCAGAATAAAATTCTTTAGAGTGAGTGAAATGTTTGATAAATTTAAACAACTTTATATTGGTAATTCTTTTATATCAATTTACCTTCTGTAAAGGTGTTACAGCAATCTTATCATTCACAGATTTGAAAATCTAGGCAAGGTTAATATTTTATTTATTAATACTCTGTAAAGTAATTTGATACTTTTGTGAAGTTGATGCGAGTAGAAACGTCTCGAATTAAACGAGTCCAGTTTTGCAACACGATGGCAGACAAATTTTCCACTTGTTAAAATTCCGTGGCCGTAGGACGGTCGTGGCTTCCTGTTCCTCCGACCCAAAAGTAAAATCGACAGTACACAGCGCGCATAATTACATTTATATTGGCCGATCGTGACGCGTGTTGCGCGCACGTGGGTCCGTGAAAAGATTTCGACGACCCACATTCGTCTTTATCCGAGGTCAAAAGTCAATACACGAGCTTTAATTGCAGTTTAGCCGACTGTAAGATGCCTGACACGATAGTATAAATAGTATTGTCGTACATTGAACGAGGCTCTGAATGCTCGTATTAAATAGAATTCAAATGTTTCCTTAATACTGTTGCAATAAACCAATATATAGGTAGACTATATTATTTTTATGGAAATACCAGTTCTGTACGTCCAGTTATGTAAAAAAAACCTGAAACTGTTGCAAGTTCCCTCGATCGGTTACAAACCTGCTATCCTGTACAAATTACACGCCCGTAGCAAGTTATTCAGTTAAATAATTTTCAACATCAAGATTTTAGATCCCACGGCGCAAAGTCTCTTCTTTTTCTATATTAATATAATGTAAAGTACATTCCATAATTTAATATCAATTCAGTTCATAAGTTTCCGTGTGTATTATGCTAACAAATTGAATTGTTCGTAAGTGTCATGCAGTCTACGCCTGGCTGTGACACTTACAAGCGATTCGGTATGTGATTGTAGTACTTAAGCGTCATTAGACTCTGTTGAAGTTGATTCTCCTAATTGTTACAACATCGCAACATCGATAAACTTCTACTTGGTACATATATTCTATTAATACAAAAATACACAAAAACTTAGGAACTAAATTAATATTTATATCTCAAAAAGCATCGAGTATCTACTAAGTGACGAGTAGTTGTCAGTAAAGAAATTGTACAACTCCAAATAAATAAATTTTACTCCGTAAAACGAGGGTCATCGCGTAAAATTCCCATGTTCGTCGCTACAGTTACAATCTCTATTTCTTCATCGATGGCGTGTTCGCAGAAGAGTAAAAAATTGCTCCAAGGCGAAAGAATCCCTGCATCCCCGTCGGGAACAGAAGAACAGCGAGACTGACAAATTAATCGCGAAGCGCGATCGCTTGTACTTTTACGATAAAATCGTCCCAACGTTCTGGACGTTGCGTAAGCCGATCTCGCAATTACTTGTAATTAATTCATTCCCCCGCGGTCGCCGGTCGATCTGGAAACTTTAATTACGAGTTATCGAGTTTATCGTCTCGATTACATTGTCCGTAGTTAATCGTGCAGCCGCGAGATCCCGGCCGGCGCGGCGTGTGCTCCGTCGACGTAGATCGTTTGCACGATCTTTGGCAACCCTATCTATTTTACCGTGTCTGGTTTCCGTAACACATGCATTACGTATAAAGCGCATGCACGAAACGCACGCCAGACTTTTCACCTATGTCTCAACACGGGTGCACCAGGTTGTTTTACCACGAAACAAACCAAACGTTCGCACGTTACGAAACGCCCCCGCCGCCTTCGATTTTCCTCACCCCGTGTTCCTTTTTCGTTCGTTCGGCAATTTGTTCGCGCGATTCTATGCTCGCGATTTATAGGGCGTTGTTTTCGACCAGTTAACACCATATCGAGAGTTCGGTACTCCGTAGTGTTTCCCCCGTGTCGAACCACGATGTTTCGTGAAGCCAATTGCTCGAGATTTGTTCCTCGTTTTATACGGTACCGTACACACGTTATGCAAATTTATATACATACGTACGGATACGCGTACGAACATATCGCCGCGCCAGTAAATTTTACGCCCGCCCGAGATTTACGTCGCATTCAACCGAGAAATCGTGTAGACATCGTAATAGTTTATCCCGGAGCTAGATATAGCATTGTTCGACTATTTTATTGAATTTTGCTGTTTGACTCTAATGTTTCAATTTCGGTTTACAACTGGAATTAGGTGGTTACTGCTTGTACGGTTTCGGTTTTAGCGATTAACGTTTCGTTTGGGGCGCGAATGGTACAGTCTGTCGTAAAAATTTACGTGGGACAGTAATGATTCCTAAAATGAATCCCGGATGTGATTCGTAAGTTGAACATTTTTATCCTTGGAGCCAGTGAAACGTGTCAATATCGAAGCGATGTTCATTTTAAGAATCATTACTGTACCTTGAAAACTATAGATGTTCTCGGATCCTAACCTCTCGCACACTTTGTCAATAATGGAATTATACGTAGCTAAGCATAACTGAAAACTTCTTGTACGGATGGTAACACAGAAGTCACAAAAAAACTCGCGTTAAGTGGATCACCGATGACCACTGTCCCAAGCAAACAACCGATTGTGTAAGTTTACACAGAAATTGATTAGACAACGAGTCATGTATTTATTCAGTGGCCCTAACTTTTTCAAAACTCGTATCACTTATTTCAGATAAGGTTTAAATTTGTCTCCAGCGACAATATAGTATTTACTTGTAATTTTAAATAAAAAATATCAGCTTAAAGTGCATTTGCAATGATCGAAACGTACGCGATTCCATTTAGAATTTAGAAATATGTCGGGTTTAATTTAACCCTTTAAAGTAGAATTATTATTACTTGAGACTTACAGTTAAAAAAGGAAAAAATGAGAAGAACTACGTATGATTAAATATTACCTATACTCACCTATACTTGAGAAAAAAAAAGTAAAAATAATTAAATATAGCTGGACCTCACCATGTAATTATACTTATTTTCAGTTTATAATTGCAATAGGCAAAAGTAAAAACAGTTAAATGTGATTATAATTATTTGAAGCTTATAGTTGTAAAAAGAAAAGATAAAGACACTTAAATTATGTTAGACCTCCTAACCATGTAATTGTAATTACTTGAAGTTTATAGCTGCAAATGAAAAAAGTAAAAATAGTTAAACACAGTTCGATCTAACCGCGTAATTATAATTATTTGAAGCTCATAGTTGCAAAAGGAGAAACTAAATATAATTAAATACAATTAGATCCAATAGTATCCGTTTTATTTCTTTCTTCCTCAATAATAAATATTAAATAATAATAATTTTTCTAGAAAAACGACTCATACACGAACTCTGAGCGTCGATAGAAATCCGTTTGCGCAAGACTGAGGTTTTCTCTTTGTTGAATTATATTTCGTGTTCGATATTAGTGAAGAAAAAAGAAGTTGCAGAGTTTCAGGGACTCTGCGTGTAACATTTCCCACGCATGACTCAGGAAGGTGTAATGCGTTGACGTTGAAAAATATGTGGGGAACTGAATGCGGAAGAAATCGCGAATAATCGAAGGTTGCGCAGAATTCAAGGAGTCGCGCGTTTAGTGAACACACGTAGCGCGTAGAGTGACCAAGAAACAGTCACTGCGCAGACGTAGAGCGACAAGTGAGGGAACCCCGTAATACGAAATAATTAAATCCTCAGTCATCGGCCGTCTTTCGCGGGCGAAGCTATGTCGCGGCGGTAGTTTCGCGTCGTGCTACGTTTAAACAACATTGGGAAGAACCAATCGAGTGGATTTACCTTTCCAAGCAGAATCGGTGCCACCGTTGAATCAAGTTCGCGTCGACAATCGAATTTCTCACTCGTAACGATCGGAGCAATAACTGTCTGAATAATTTGTTATCTGTTTCACGCGATACGATTGTGCGCACGATATCCAACTACGAAAATTTTTAAACACAAGTGTCCGAACCTCTGGTGTGATTTTAGCGTGGGTGTGATTTATTACGAATTTGGAGTACTACGTGACAGCATTCTTTGTTCCCTTCAGCCGTGTTTTGAAACGTGAGCATCAACAATGAATCTATTTATTATTGTGTTACGTTTAGGTAAATTTAAAGAATACGTAATTGAGTTTGAAGTTGTAGAATGGAACTATAGTTGGATCAACAGTAAGAGGCAATAGACATGATATCTTTGTTTTTATTCGTTGGCTGTGAATATACTCTTGGCTCTTTGTTTTTCTTTGCAGACATTTTGTTTTAGTGAATTGTGTTGAATTGAGTGATTTGTGTATTTTTATTTATTGCTAAATTTGATAAAGGCAATTTTAATATTATCTAATATACGATCGATGTTTGATGAAATAATTCACAGTTAAATTATGATAAACACTGGCATAGCAAAATCATAGATGTAATTAACTAAAGGTCATAATACTTTTAATTTACACGTATTTTCATGTAATTGTACACCTTCATAGCGAATATTACACGGATTTACTTTGTAGATTTTGAGAAATTTCAGGATCATTACAATAAAATCATTAAGTAGATGTCAATTTTCAGATTCATAATAATAACTCCAACTGAAATCGTATTTATCATATAATTAATACTGAGACAATAATTTTATCGCAATTTGTTTATATATATGATTACAAACAGATACAATTCTTATCTTAATACAAAATTCGAATGACAAATAAAAGGTAAACAACTGTTTCTTCGTTAGGTGAAAAATTAAATTTACAATAATAATTTGTTATACATACAATACAATAATTAAATTGAAAACAATTCAGAAAAATTCTATCAAATTAATTCGTTTCTTTTTCTCACAATTATGAAGAAATTTTCATGGATAATAGATATTTTGATTATTTTTAAAATAGTATTTTAAAAAGTTTATCAATTTTTGGAGTAGAAAAAAAAAACTGTCGACTTTTTAATTGTTTACATTTGCTTCGATAAAAAACTTAGACCAATTATTTAAACGCCAGACTATTTTTCACACATTTTATTCGATCAATTGTCGGTGAAAAAAATGTCAGCTTTGCTACTATGACGTAAGTGTGTGTCTTTGCTAACAATTGAGGTCTTGGTCATGATTAAAATTTGCTAAAATGGAGTAGAAAATAATGTTTAATGCCTCCAGCTGGCCCTGCTCGTGCATTATAACCCCCGATAAAAGCTGACGCTATGAAATATGAGGTAAAAAATTATAGGTCGCGGCTTCCTTGCATTTCCAACGAACTTAACTGCAGGCACGATGAAGACAAACACAGTAAAATGTATATAAATCTCTACAACCGTGTATCGTTGTCGGTGCTCTTATCTAATCTGCCGTACATGCTCAAATATACGACGAGATAAAAGTATCGAGGGGAGAGATTATGGTCTCGTCGGGTACGTGTCGAATTAAAAAATCGATCGATTCGGTATCCGTCCACCGTTAAGCGCTTATCGCTGGACCCGACGTATCCGCATAAAATTAACACCCATGCGGTCGGACGGTATCGAGGTGGATAAACGTTTTGCGAGGCGAGAACGTGGGCACCGTATTATCGCTGTTCTTTTTTCTTTTCCGGGCGAGGGAGCGCAATCCGGCGTTTATTTGCACGCACCGCACGGGACACGACGATTTGCCCGCGGCGTTTTGAAACTTTGTACGCCTTCTCGCCGATTCTGCGCCACATACACTAACGCTCAAAAGTTTGGGACCACGTATCCCATCAGAACAGAGCTCTAATGTTCAAACCATGAGTGGGTAAAATTTTATTCAATAAATAGCAAAGAAATCATTTCTAGCTTCGTTTTTTAAAAAATTGTGTCGATTAAAAATTTGTACACGCGAGAAAATAGTTTTTGTGCTTTTGTATTTGTCGACACGAAAGCCTCGATTCCTTCAAATAATCGTTTTCAAAGACAAAGAAATCATTGGAATAGGTTTGAGAGTGACCGGTACATTTTGCTCGTGTCTCAAAATGAACCCTCCTCCAATAGTCTCCTTCAAACCCAAACAAACAGATCATTGCAATAGGTTTGAGAGTAACCAGTACATTTTGCATGTGTTTTCCCGCATTGACATATAGCATAATTGTATGAAGTCTGCTGTCTACACTAATGATTCTTAAAATGAACCCTCCTCCAATAGTCCACTTCAAACCCATACAAACAAATCATTGCAATAGGTTTGAGAGTGACCAGTACATATGCTTTTGCGTATCGAGATATAGCATAAATGTATAAAGTCTGCTGTCTACAGTAATGATTCTTAAAACATCCCCGAAGTTCATTTAACGAATCATTACTGTAGTTAGAATCATTTGTATTCTAAAAGGTGTGCTGCGTGGATACTTTCATCCACCACTGTACGTTAAGCGCACGCTCACGGAGCGGTCCTTCCACCCACGATTAAGCGCGGTCCACGCTCCTTTTCGTCGCACGCGCTGCGTGTGGTACGCTCGTGACCGGCCATTTCATAAATTGGATTAACGGTCGTGCAGGCCGGATAATTGACCCGGCTTGTAATTCGTACGTTCGTTCCTCTTGGCCCTTTGTTACGTGTACCCTCCATTATTTTTGAATCGCAACGCCCGGATACGTGTATACGTTTGTTTCTTTTCTCCTTCGAACCTTTCGTTTTCTTTTTCTTTTCTTTTTGCTCCGTTGTTTCGTTAATCATTCCACACGCGAAGAATGAATCAGACGCGTCCAAATCGATTATCATTTCGTTGCACCAACGTCGATTAACCTCGATCGTCCTTAGCAAACACGTACAATCGCTGAAAAGTTTGAAACATTACTCGATATTTTTACTTTCTGTTTAGTTGTAAATTAATTTATTAGTATTTTAAAATGTGAATACAGTAGAGATCCGATTATCCGGATTGTCCGAATAACCGGTAGGAGTGTTATATATTTTATTTTTTATTAATAAATTGTATTATTACATTACTCATGGTTGTTTTAGTTAAAAATCAAAAACGAATTTTCAAGAAAAATTGACAGGGGCGCCTCAATTTTTCGGTGAAATTGAAAAGTTTCAAATCGTTCTGTAAAAATTATTTTCGGTTGCAGGTGTCAATTACAATCATTTTTGGTCATTAGACATACCCCCGAATTCCTACGCACTTTCGAGAAAAAAATTCTTTACCGAATATACAATGTCTGACCAGAGAGAGAATGATTCCACTGAAATTTCATGCGTATGTTTAAAAAGTCATAACTCCTGAACGGATCGGTGGATTTTAATGTTTCAAAATGCAAACGACGCGTATTTTGGCGAAGAATATTCAGAAATTCTAGGACTTTTCGAAAAGTTGTTCCTTAACCCCGTAAAATGAGAAAACACCCATGAAAATGTCCCAATTCCTCGTTTCTATCACTTCATATGTAGGTATAGTCCAATTATTCGGCATTGCCCTAATGATTTTATTTCTATGTCAAATTTTAATCAATTTTTAATTGTGAGATTTAATTCTTTAATAGAATTTTGTTGAAATTCTGGTCTGTAAATATTTATTTTTAAATTGATGCATGGAGCTAATTACTAAAGTAAACTTAAATTGACTTCATCCCTTGACTATTATTATATTCGTTCGTGTCTTTTTCTACACTTCTGCAGACAAAATTAATTGTCCTCGTTGAAGCCCGTTGAATTGCAAATACAGTAATCCTAATTGATGCCGTATAAATTTGTATCGTGTTTCGAAATGTCTTTTCGTTGCACGAATACCGATTGAGATTTTTATGCGAACGAATGTACTTATTATTACGTTCAAGAGGATACAATGGCCGTTGAAGGTGAACCAGAATGCTCGTACGATTCAAGCCTGATAAAATATAATTTCATATAGACTGAATTTTATGTCCAAACCAATTGGAGGGAGATATTTATAGTTTTATGTGTTGCTGCGGTGCAACGCAGCTTCATAGGTCTGTAATAGCAATATTAATGTACATCTCGATATAATTGGACGTTTCCTTGTATGGATAATGAGCAAAATATCAACTTCTGCATACTAAATTATCAGAAATAAAATACTGTGTATTTAGTGATATTTTTATGGAACATTTCCTTTTGATTATCGTAATAAACTCTCAAATTATATGTTTGTCATTCAAATAGGTGATTCTGTAATTATATTAAGTAATATAGATAGAGCAAGAGAACTTTGTAATGACTCTGTAAAAGCTAATTGTTCTCGATTATAAAACTTGATTGTTTTTTTTGTGATCAAGAACTTCCAACTGCTTTAAAATTTATAGCATTCGGGACTCCAAAGGTTTATAAAAACACAACATCTGGCTACTTCGATCTCAATTCAAAGAAGATGACAAAAATCATCATATTATCAAAAATATTATATTGTATTAGAACGTTTCTTTTCTATTATTTTCCGCAGTGGCGCAGAAATACTCAAATTTTCAATTCCACCATTCGAGAACAAGCAATGAATTGAAATTAACGCGTAACATCAACAATTCTTACAAAAATTCTTTCAAAAACGGGGGTAAAAAATACGGACCACCCTAGTAAAATCGAATTTCGAGATCGTCTCTTTCTTCGCGAACGCGACTCGCGGTTATGATTCCGTAGCTGTTATCCTTGACGAGTTTCTTGTACACGTGCGCGGAAACGTGACGTCGTATTTGAGTGTAACAAAAGGAAAAGGAGACTTGCATGCAAAAAGTTTCATAGAAATCCAGCGCGTGATTGATACGCGTTTGTTTAGAATTCGTCTAGCTCGACGGTCGCCTTTCAGGTCTTATTTGATTTAGGATCACGGTTTTAGTTGGTTCGATGACGCAGCTCGGCCGTACGATTCTGAAAGGTTCGTTCGAAGTTTAGCAAACCTAGATTTTCTACTCAGTGTCACAATGTACAGATTTATCGTGAATCTTTCATTTTGTAGCATGCGTTTCCTAAAATTCATGAAACATTAGTAAAAATGTGAAAAATTAGATAGAACGTAGTTCTTCAGAACTTAAAGCTTCTGATGCTTTGTTTTAGCCACGTGGTATATTATACACCACAAAATTATGGAATCACGTACAGAC